CAATGTGTTAATAATAGCTTAGCTCTACAGTTGTGTGCTTTCCTACAGAGAAGCAGGAGACAAGTTCTTTGCTGTGCCCCGCAGAAAGCATAGCCCAGAGCAGATGGAGGAACAGCAGTGCTTAAAGCCACCTTTGTGCCACTCAGCTTTTGGCTAGCAGGGACCAATGTGTCCCTGTAGAAGTCAGAGCTGATCTAATTTACAGCAGCCTGATCCATGCTCCTCTGCATCCTCAAGTAAGCCAATAATCCCATAGTGCTCAGTGTGATAGAACCCCTTCCTCCACCCCATCCCCTCTTCCAGGGGCTGTACGACAGCCCTACACTGCACCTGCACTGAAGTTTTCTGCCCTAGCTGAATCTGGCATATTTACAGCCATTAAGCACCACTGGACTTGCTCTGATCTCTGAACCTGCTCTCACACAGGCTCTAGTGTAAGTGAGCTCCTAAAGGCTGCTCTAACTTACACTGCCTGCATATGTTTCCCAAAGAATCAGACCCTAGTGAAAACTGGTAAAGCAGATCTGTGCCCATCCCACCTTACCATGATCTGCCCCCTTGTCCAATGGAATGTGTCAGAAGTGGGGGACTGGCATAGGAGTTGGCTTCACCAACCTGATGCCCACTGAGACCTCCTCCCCCACCAGGGGAATTCTCAGGTGGGCAGTGCAAATGGGTTGGAGAAAAAAGAGTGAGAATCTGGCCCATTTACATACATAGAAGAAACTCTGAAAATTGTAGAAAGCAAAAATGGAAAAATTCCAAAAGGAAAAAGGGCTTTGCTTCCTAAACCAGTTTGATGGGATAGGTATGAAACCCTCTGAGGAAACCCAACTACTTAAAAGCAAGAAAGTGAGTAGTGAAGGGCACCATAACACTTACATAGCCCATGAAATACAATGTTGGGGGGTGGTGTTTTGTTTTGTAAATATAAAAGTAACTAGAGATGTATGGGATTTATGCCAGCCAGAATTCCAAAAAGCAAGGAAGATGTACCCGTAACTAGCATCCATACATGCACCCTATATATACACACACACACACATATTCATATATAAATACATATCTGCACACACACTTTTAAAAGAATAAATGCTTAGCTCTTAAAAGCTATTTGAAAACTGATGCATTAGAATGAACTACGTGAAAGCTAATGCAACAGCTATGGCCCTGATTCAGGAAAGCATTTAAGCACATCTTTAATTTTAGCAATGCTTCTAGGATACCTAAGTGCAGCACAGAGTCAATCTCCTGAATAGGGATGCTTTCCTGAATCTGGACTATATGATCTTAGAGCTTTTGAAGAAAATATCCCAGAAAACTACAAAATTTACAAGTGGGCTACAGCAATAGGGAAAGATACTGGAATGGAATCAAACGGAATGTAGGACCTCAAAATCTCTAATCGGATTGAAGCCAGAAGGACAATTTCACAAATGGGAAATTCCATACCTAACACATCTTTTTAAAAAGCCATAAACATAATTTAACTGGACTTCAGGAAATCTTTTGATATGCCCACATAAATACAATAAATCTATAAAGGTAATTGTAAGAAATGAGGCAAGCTATTTAGGCGGATTCAGGCCTGATTTGTGAATGGCAACAGTTTGTTCGTAAGTGAGCAGTGGACTGCCACAAGGATCAATACCAGGATAGATCTAACTCATTTATTTACATCAGTGGAGGAGTTAGAAGTATTTTGCACTCAGATTAGCACACAGTTGGTTCACAACTAAATCAATAAAAAAGGAGGAGCGTGATGTAATTGAAAATAGATTTGAGGTGTAACAACTGTAGGTAAGTGGTTTCTGCAAATAATTGTAGAAAAAGGCAAGGGCAAATGAACAAATATATTAAATTAAAACTTAGTATTAATATTTGTACAGTGCAAAACACTGGATAGGAGAAGCATATAGGGATAGTGATGGATAATACGCTAAAAACTTCAGTACAGTGCTCAGTAGTATTTGCTTACTGTATACTTTCAATTTGCACCTTTCAAAATTCACTCTAGGCTCCTGTACAAAATGCAAATTATAAAATAAAATTCAAAATAACACAATGTCAAACTCCCCATTCATCTTCCTCTCATTATACTCACAGATGAGCCAACAGGCTGTGTAACACGCTATGAAGATCAGATGATTTAAACTCTGTTTAGCCAATGTTTTGAGGAAAACGTTTTGGATGAAGGGAACTCTAGAGTCAATTCCATTAACTATTGGAAATGCCCTGCCACCATCCTACAGTCTCACAAGACGGGCAAATAAACCAAACAAACTTCTGGGATATTAAAGCAGAAATTTTCTAGATAAGCGTAAGGAAATTTCTCTGTCATGATATACAGAACCAGTGAAACTGGATTCAGAATACCACATAAGGTTAGTTGTTTGGGTTTGCTTTTTGTTATGGAATTGGAGACAAAGTGAATGCTAGCAACCAATACAGGGAATTAAATATTTTGGTTATTCAAACTTCTACGGAATCTAGGCTCTTATTCTTTGAAAGTAAAAGAAAAATTAAGAGTACAGCTCAATAAGAAATGTAGAGTTTTGGATAGACTAGAAAGCAGCTCTGTTACAAGGCTATTTGAGCTAGTGCCAAATATTATACAATATTAACTGGGCATGAACTTAGAAGTGAAACTGGCAAGGTATTGGCACAAAAACCTGCATATTGTTTTCCTCATGTTCACCTCTTATATAACACATCAAATATATTACATGCAATAGATACAAAATGAAAGAAGACAAACAAGTTAAATGAATGAATACATTAAAGCCATTTTTAAAAATCAACATAAACAACCAGTACTCCTGAGCAACTTTATCAAAACAAATAAGTCTGTCTGTTTGATAGAGAAAGATTTCAAATCCAATCTTCCAGAGGACAGTCATAAATGGCATAAAACCAAACAAACCATAAGCATTAAGGAATTAAACTAAATATCAGTCATCAAGGAGTTAATAACATATAAATGAGAAGAGTACGTGTGACTAATATTTCTACCTTATTTCAAAGAGGAGTTAGGTAAGTGAAGAAAATATAAAGCAGGTAAACCAACTTTAAGGGGAATCTTGGGCTCTTTCCATTCTAAAACACCTTCTATTCCTAAATAACTTTACAAGTAGATGGTGAAAGATGTGTTTTTCAATTAATGCAATTGCACATTGGACTGTATTATCACTTTTAAATGTATGACTAGAAGAATTAATTGCACATCTGTGAAAAGATATCTAATTTTGCAGAGGAAGGTAATATCACACAAAATGAGTGATGCTCATACCACACACAAGTAACTGTTAATCATGTTGGGTATATTTTCCTGGTTTTTAAGGAGTCGTTGACAAATTCGTAAAAATACAAGTTTCAGAGTAGCAGCCGTGTTAGTCTGTATTCGCAAAAAGAAAAGGAGTACTTGTGGCACCTTAGAGACTAACCAATTTATTTGAGCATAAGCTTTCGTGAGCAGCTTATGCTCAAATAAACTGGTTAGTCACGCCACAAGTACTCCTTTTCTTTTTGTAAAAATACAAGTTGCTTGTTTAGAACAAAACATTCTTGTGATCAAAAAATTGGCACTTCAATCACAGCTAATTAGTCCTAAAAGCATCTTTGTAGGACAAATTCCCTGAGTCTTATTACAGCGAGTATCTCCTAAGGAGAGGCAGTCTCAAAGAAGCAAACTAATTTCCTAATTCTACAAAGAGATCCATCTTAGCATAAGAGTCCATCCACATGAATCACTTTGCAAGCATTGGTTCCCAATCTGTGTCCTAGGGACCATATGCTAGCAGCCTATGGAGGTCTGGCTGGTCAGGTGGTACTGGATCTCTCTAATATCATGTAGCAGCTGAAAATAAAGACAGCTGAGATGGATTACATTTTTATACTTCATTTCCTATAATTGCCAATTGCTATATGGTTGCTTAAGTGACAAGAGAGAATATGTGCAATTGTGGATGAGAGGGGTTCAAGACAACCTCTCTATTAAAATGGGATTCACACTGTGAAAATATTTGAGAATTCCCATTTTGCAGGAGCAGAGCATAAAGTATCGTAACAGCACAGTCATGGGGGGAAATGGTTTATTGTGACTGAAGGTACTGTCACATCGGAGGTCAAGGATTGAGAGTTGTTATTTAACTGAACATGGACCTATACTTCAGGATAATGCTTGCCCATGTGCACCCAGGCTAAAACACTGGAAAACAGCTCAATCTCATGTACAGTGCATGCATTTTTAATAAGCGCATCTTTTAATGATCTCTATACCACCATTATTTCTTATTATTCTTCCATCTTTTTGCAAGTTTTTTTATTTTTTTTTTAATGCAACAACCACTTTAGCTCTTTTGCACTTCAAGGAGCTTATCTGTTATTTTTCTGCTCCAGTAGCTCATAATGTGACAGACTAAGTGTACGGGGAAAAAGACTTTATATGGGAAAAATCCTCAATATTGCATAATCTATCATAAAGCAATCTTATCAGAAATCTTCATTAAATTTCCTGTCTTGGTTCTGACTGTTATGAAGTACTAGCATCATTACATAATATGGAAGTGTCTTTGAATACTACTTACATAGTTTACTGCACAGCTGGTTTTTAACTACCTACCAGTAAAACAGCTTAGTTATATAGAATTTGTTTAGGCAAACAGAATGGTAATTAATATTATCAAATCAAGTTTCCTCATATATCACCCGTTTTTATTAAAAAAGCCCAATGTTAGCAGCACAAGCTTACTACAATGCACATGTATAGTCTCTCCTGCCTCCACAACAAATCAGCAGACACATTCATTCTGAAACATCTCATTTCAAGGTTTATGGGCCCAATATCCAAATCCAATAGACGGACAATAGAACCTTTGATGGTATTAGTATCACTTAGATGATACTATCATTGTGCTGCACACAATCTGCTTGCAGCTGTTCTCTAGTAAGTTATCATGCCTTAAGCAAACACAAGTTATATTGTTTGTGTATCTTCCTACCTGCAAAGGGAACAGGAGCATCCTTATCCAAAGCAACAAGAGGAGGATCCAAAATGACAGTATCGTTGTTTTCAGTAATGACTCCGTGATAGGAAGTTTCTATCCATGGCTTGTGTTTGTTCACTAGAAAACAAAATAAAGAATGTATTTAACTCATTTGATACATTTCTTATCCTCAGCCTGCTCACTTAATATATTTTTAAAAGGAAACAGTACTGTAGTATGTCACTCATTATAATATTAACACTATTAATACATGACCACTTTATGTCATACAACCCATGCACTGTAGATATCATACCCAGTTTACCAGTGAGGAAATAAAACAACTAGGAACACAATAGTCCAGATTTTCAGTTGAGCACAGCTCCAATTTAGGTATGAAGAAAAATAGCAAGATTTTCTATACAGCACATTGGGTGCTGAGTCCTGTTGAAACCCTGGCTGTACCTGACACAATGAGAACTCCTGGATGCTAAGTACATCCAGTCAAAGATTTTCTGATGGAACAGTTTTTCCGGTTGGAAAATGCTGATTTGATAGAATCTAAAACGTTCCATGGGAACGTGTCAATTCTGTTAAACCTTCCAATGGAAACTAGGAAGGCAGCAACCCACAACTAGCCTCAGTGCCTAGATTTATTTGAAAATTCCTTTTTGTGGGCAATTTTAAAGATTTTTCAGACTTCACTCACACTCAGACCAAAACACAAATATTGAAGTTTTTATTACAACAAAATTTCTTTTTTCAACCAGTTCTAGCACTTTTGAAAATCTGCCCCTCATTTAGATGGCTCCGTGGGTGCAGAGGTCTTTCTGAACATCTGGGCCCCAACTATTATTAAGCATTTCACATTCCGATCCCACTGGAAGCTTATGACTAAGTGGGAAGACAACATGAAGTACCTGACTTGGGAGTCAGAAGGTTTACCTAACTGAACATGCATCTACCACATACTTTCTTCTCCGCTATTTGGTATAAAGAAAATAATGATCATTCACTTTTGCTTTTTAATATATAAAAGAAGTGTTACTAATAACGTTTGTCTACAAACAGTATTTAGCCTCCTAAACCAAAATCTGAATGTTCTGTTTTGGGAGCTTCTACAGAAGAATTCCAGTGGAACTCAACTAAATTAATAACTATTAGAAGATATTTCCCAAGCAACAAGTAACAACACATTTCATCTTTGGACTTTGCAAGTTCTGATACCAGTTACTTTTCGCACATATTATTTGTGTACCAGATATTAGTGAGGACATCTGGTGGGCTAACAGAATTGCCTTCAACCAAAATCTAGGGTTGACTTGTAAAGCAAATGCAAATAGGACCAAATGGGATCATTTACAATAAATCTACCGCCAAAAAAAAAAATCCCTAATTTTACAAATAAAAGGTCCTAAATGCCTTGTCCTATGGTAAAACACACAGGCAGGAAAAAGTGCCTGGGGAGGTTGCCCTAATACATTTCCTTCAAATCAAGAGAGTGAGTTTTAGACACCTGTTCTCAGTGTTACATTGAATAGGTGCTGGTCCACAAAACGTATAGGGTACAGAAGAGGCCTGGGGCACCCATGCCTCCACACCAGCTTTGGGGTCTGGCTGGCACAATGAACCATTTCCAGGGCTTCCTCACATCCCCATAAAAGATTATCTCAAAATGTGAAAGGGGAGGGGAGGAGCGATGGGAAACACTATGATATGCAATTAGATTATGATCACCTAACCCCCTGGACCAGTCTACTTTTCACCCACCACTTGTCACCTCCCTCCACATGGATGCACATTCTGACAGATAACTTCAGGGGTGCCAGAAACAGAGCCAAAGAGGCAGTTAACCCCCATCCCCATGCCTCTTCCAAGCAAGGGTACGTTCAAGCTCTAAGGATGATATGAGCAGGTTAGCAATCCTTAGAGTATTAAAAATAAGCTGTCAACAGTCCACTTCTTGAAAACATTATGGTCTGCTAAAGATTGTTCCCGCTGACATATTCATTAGAAAGTCTTCATGGTTACAACCTCATTCTTCATTGTTTTTGATGTATTAACTTAAAATTTTGTTTTGTTCCATTAGAAAAATAATATGCCTTACTACTTTAAAGTCAACAATGTCACACAAAATGGAATGAGTTTGTGAGCACTGCTTCTTAGTTAATGTATCATCAATGTTTTAAAAATAAGCCTTTCCACTAGAACTGTGAAAATAATGGAATTTTTTTATCACTAACAATTTGGAAGAGTCAAAAAAACCAAAACAAAAACAAAACAAAAAGAAAACAAAAACCTTCAGGTCAAAACATTTAGTTCAACCCAAGACAAAACATTTTAACTGAGTTTTATATATAGAATTAAGGTAGTTTTAAAACAAAGTCAATCAAAGAATCAAAAAACTTTTGAAAATGCTAAAACAAAAAAAATATTTTTTTGAGAATTTTTTTTTTTTTACTTAAACAATTTGGTTAAATTAATTTTAATTCACAAAATGTTCTGGTGTCATTGATGAAAAAAGCAGATTCAAAAATTTTTTTGCCCATCTCTACTTTCCACCTTGGTTGGGTGCAAGACTGCAAATAGCCTTGCAGGTACAAAACCATAATCATTCACAATGTGCCAATTTGTAGAGTAGTATGTTTTCCTTTACAATGTTTGATTACACAGTTTGAAACTGAAGGACCAATTGATTCAGATCCCTTTCTACCTCAATGTCTGCAACCCAGACGCAACTCATAAAATGCAAAATTAATTGTGTGGGTAGCCTGGCTCCTTGGAATTAGACTGGTTAGTTGACTTGACCAAAAATGGGATGAAGGCCAAGAGGCCAGTAGGGGTTACAATGTGAGAGGTAAGAGTTTTATTATATGTGTACCACCCATTTGGACTCCAAAATGTATGATATTGGAATTATACTGTATTTTTATCTGAATTTGTGATTTCAACAATTTCCATCCCACCATCAACCTCAGCCTGGTCCAGTCCACACAAGAGATCCACTTCCTGGGCACTACAGTGCTAATAAACAATGGTCACATAAACACCACCCTATACCGGAAACCTACTGACCGCTATTCCTACCTACATGCCTCCAGCTTTCACCCTGACCACACCACACGATCCATCGTCTACAGCCAAGCTCTGCGATACAACCGCATTTGCTCCAACCCCTCAGACAGAGACAAACACCTACAAGATCTCTATCAAGCATTCTTACAACTACAATACCCACCTGCGGAAGTGAAGAAACAGATTGATAGAGCCAGAAGAGTTCCCAGAAGTCACCTACTACAGGACAGGCCTAACAAAGAAAATAACAGAACGCCACTAGCCGTCACCTTCAGCCCCCAACTAAAACCCCTCCAACGCATTATTAAGGATCTAAAACCTATCCTGAAGGATGACCCAACACTCTCACAAATCTTGGGAGACAGGCAAGTCCTTGCCTACAGACAGCCCCCCAACCTGAAGCAAATACTCACCAGCAACCACAGACCACACAACCGAACCACTAACCCAGGAACCTATCCTTGCAACAAAGCCCGTTGCCAACTGTGCCCACATATCTATTCAGGGGACACCATCATAGGGCCTAATAACATCAGCCACACTATCAGAGGCTCGTTCACCTGCACATCCACCAATGTGATATATGCCATCATGTGCCAGCAATGCCCCTCTGCCATGTACATTGGGCAAACTGGACAGTCTCTACGTAAAAGAATAAATGGACACAAATCAGATGTCAAGAATTATAACATTCATAAACTAGTCGGAGAACACTTCAATCTCTCTGGTCACGTGATTACAGACATGAAAGTTGCTATATTACAACAAAAAGCTTCATAACCAGACTCCAGCGAGAAACTGTTGAATTGGAATTCATTTGCAAATTGGATACAATTAACTTAGGCTTGAATAGAGACTGGGAGTGGCTAAGTCATTATGTAAAGTAACCTATTTCCCCTTGTTTTTTCCTATCCCCCCCCCCTCAGACGTTCTTGTTAAATCCTGGATTTGTGCTGGAAATGGCCCACCTTGATTATCATACACATTGTAAGGAGAGTGATCACTTTAGATAAGCTATTACCAGCGGGAGAGTGGGGTGGGAGGAGGTATTTTTTCATGCTTTGTGTGTATATAAAAAGATCTTCTACACTTTCCACAGTATGCATCCGATGAAGTCAGCTGTAGCTCACGAAAGCTTATGCTCAAATAAATTGGTTAGTCTCTAAGGTGCCACAAGTACTCCTTTTCTTTTTGCAAATACAGACTAACACGGCTGTTACTCTGAAACCTGACATACAGCCATAAATATTAATTATTATTATGATAGCATCCAAAGGCCTTGACAGGCATTGGGGGCCCCTCTCTGTAGGCACTATACAAAAAAAGGAGATGCTTCTTGATTGACACCAGATAAAATATATCAATAACCAACCACTAGAGTGGGAGTTCACATGAAAAATGAAGTCTCTGTTCACTTTTCTGAGAATGTGTGTACCAAAGCCTTACGTAGAAAACCACCCAGTCTGGATAATTTTGTTGTTATTAAATTGCTGTCTGAGTTCCTGTAAAATAAATCTTCCTCTTTCAGCTCTTCTATGCACAGGTTTGGGCACATATTTTTGATGGAGTATTTAACACATTGTCCTATAATCAGTTGCATTACTCAAGTGATTGGAAATCTATAGCCTTTCACTTTCCCCTTTGTATCTGCCAGTATTGACAAGTTTCAGAGTAGCAGCCATGTTAGTCTGTATTCACAAAAAGAAAAGGAGTACTTGTGGCACCTTAGAGACTAACCAATTTATTTGAGCATAAGCTTTCGTGAGCTACAGCTCACTTCATCGGATGCATTCAGTGGAAAATACAATGGAGAGATTTATATACACAGAAAACATGAAACAAAAGGTGTTACCATACACACTAAGGAGAGTGATCACTTAAGATGAGCTAATACCAGCAGGAGAGCCGGGGTGGGGGGGGGGGAGAAAACCTTTTGTAGTGATAATCAAGGTGGGCCATTTCCAGCAGTTGACAAGAACGTCTGAGGAACAGTGGGGGTTGGGGGAATAAACATGGGGAAATAGTTTTACTTTGTGTAATGACACATCCACTCCCAGTCTCTG